TGAACTATCCTTATTAGGATACCATTTGTTATCCTGCTCAACAGTGATTTCTCACCATGCCTTCATAACCCCCCCCCACCCCCCACCCCACCTCCCCATCCCATCCAAAATCCTTATCCTGATCCCTTCCCAGTGCTATATAGTCGTAATGGCTTGTCACTTTCCCCCTGATAATTCCCTTTCCCCTTCACATCCCTCACTATGAATCTCTGTTTCCTGTCGGTTAGGTTCTCTTTGATCCGTTGCACTGTTCCTGTCTGCTTTTGAAGTTTGTGTAGTATTCATCAGTAAGACACAATGGTTTCTAAGGCAGATTTAACAATTTGACTTTGACACAGAATTTTGCGTTCTCTTCCATATGATTCCGCTTCAAAATTGTGAATTTTCTGACACGTTCATTTACCCGTTTAGATCAAATTTCTGGCAGGAAATGTTTAGCGAGGACTAGTCTAATTAACGCGCCTAAACCATGACAAAAAATATAATTTATAACGTTTCAAGTTTCACAGCAAAATACGTTTTGGTTGATGTCACCAGACAAGGCTCCGCGCGACTCGTCGTCTTCATGACGAGTTTCATCTTATCTCTGGTAAAGGAACTTTTATTGGGTTCCAATTAAGGTGCGAGTTTCAGGTTTCACTTTGGCAAGTCCGTATAATTGACATTAAGATGACCGTTATAATGAGGTTGACATTGTGGGACGCCTGAGGTGCAGGAGGAGGAGGTGGAGGAGGACCTTGGGAGAGAAGTCTTAAGGATATTGCTTTGATGTCTAATTGACTCACCGACAGTTGATGAGAGAGAGAGAGAGAGAGAGAGAGAGAGGAGAGAGAGAGAGAGAGAGAGAGAGAGAGAGAGAGAGAGAGAGAGAGAGAGAGAGAGAGAGAGAGAGAGAGAGAGAGAGAGAGAGAGAGAGAGAGAGAGAGAGAGAGAGAGAGAGAGAGAGAGAGAGAGAGAGAGAGAGAGAGAGAGAGAGAGAGAGAGAGAGAGAGAGAGAGAGAGAGAGAGAGAGAGAGAGAGAGAGAGAGAGAGAGAGAGAGAGAGAGAGAGAGAGAGAGAGAGAGAGAGAGAGAGAGAGAGAGAGAGAGAGAGAGAGAGAGAGAGAGAGAGAGAGAGAGAGAGAGAGAGAGAGAGAGAGAGAGAGAGAGAGAGAGAGAGAGAGAGAGAGAGAGAGAGAGAGAGAGAGAGAGAGAGAGAGAGAGAGAGAGAGAGAGAGAGAGAGAGAGAGAGAGAGAGAGAGAGAGAGAGAGAGAGAGAGAGAGAGAGAGAGAGAGAGAGAGAGAGAGAGAGAGAGAGAAGAGAGAGAGAGAGAGAGAGAGAGAGAGAGAGAGAGAGAGAGAGAGAGAGAGAGAGAGAGAGAGAGAGAGAGAGAGAGAGAGAGAGAGAGAGAGAGAGAGAGAGAGAGAGAGAGAGAGAGAGAGAGAGAGAGAGAGAGAGAGAGAGAGAGAGAGAGAGAGAGGAGAGAGAGAGAGAGAGAGAGAGAGAGAGGAGAGAGAGAGAGAGAGAGAGAGAGAGAGAGAGAGAGAGAGAGAAGAGAGAGAGAGAGGAGAGAGAGAGAGAGAGAGAGAGAGAGAGAGAGAGAGAGAGAGAGAGAGAGAGAGAGAGAGAGAGAGAGAGAGAGAGAGAGAGAGAGAGAGAGAGAGAGAGAGAGAGACAGAGAGAGAGAGAGAGAGAGAGAGAGAGGAGAGAGAGAGAGACCCTCTGCTGTGGAATGTTTATTTCAACGATCAACTTCATCTCATTCCTGAAGCTCAAGCCTATACTGATGACTGTACTCTAACCTTTACATACAAAAGGAAGAAATGCCAACTGCTGCAATATTCATTAATCACCAATTTTCAGCGTTTTCCACCTGGGGCAGGAGATGGCAGGTCACACTTGTGACTGAGAAGACACAAGCGATGATGATAACAACACTGCATATGGCAAATCGGTCAGGCCTGCAAATGGGTGCCAAACCCCGAGAGTTCACTGATAAATTTGACATCTTGGGAATGAAGTTCGACTCTTCAATGACAATGAAGAGCAACGTGCTTAATCTTGCTCAAAATGCAGTCAGTAAAACTAACAGCTCTACGGCGCATCTCACATCTTGACAGCAGCGGCTGCCAAACCTTATATGAAGCACAAGTTCGCTCCTATCTAGAGTATGCACACCACTCTTGGATCGCCTGCCCCCGTCATTCGTCAGACTGTTGGACAAAGTGGAGAGACGGGCTAGAAGGCTCATCTCTTAGTCTTGACCAAGTCTGGTGGGAACGGTCTGAACACCAGAGCCTGCAACACCGTCGTGACGTTGGTGGTCTTATTGTTATGTATAAGGCCAACATCCTTAAAGTTCTGCACCTGGCCCAACTCCGTGGACAGCCAGTAGTTCCCACCCGTAGCACTAGGCTCTCAACCTTCAACATTCTCATGCTGGAACTGCCATTCTCAATAACATCACTCCATCAGCGATCATTCACTCCGAGGCTCACTGGCATCTGGAACTTGTTCGCTCAACAGGTTGATACACGGGATATCAGGTCAACTGATCACATGAAGACTATGGCACACAGTTGGCTACAGGCTCATCCTGTTCCTTATTGATTGTTACCTAATGTTGTTAATGAAAAAAGCTATTCCTGCTGATGCATAACACAGGCTCATGAAATAAATGGGCCTCGAGGCTTCAACTGAGCTCAGGAAGGATTACAGCTCTTGCTTGCAGTTTCACCAGGTTCCTTATATGATAGTTGTCTATGTGATAGTTTCACAGTACATTCTCATAAAATATATGAGTTTCTAGAAGGAAGCTTCAGATGAGCTGAGGTACGATAACAGCTCTTGCTTGCAGTTTCACTAGGTACGTCATTTGCCCGCCCTTATGAACCCTAGACTTAGTTAAAAAAAAAAGACAAAAAAGAGAGAATAAATACCTATTGCAGAATAATATCACAACCCATCGTCTCCCCACTCTCACCACCTTACCATTAACCACCCCGCCCAATCCCCTTACCTATCCCAGGTACGTCTACCCACACCGCCACATACCATCCCATAACACTAAACACCTCTCCCTACCCCTCTCTCCCCCCCCCCCGTCTCACCCCCCACCCATTTCTACACCCATACCTCTTCCTTCCCTCATTCTCTTCCTTCATCTAAACTCCTCCTTAAACCCCCCCTTTCAATATTCCTTGGAACCTATTTCTTCCCGCTCTTAATTATAGCTCCCACAGCCCATCAAACATCAAAGTCAACTTTCCATTCCGACAATAGTCGTTAGAACAGCCTGTTTCAGGTCCTAAGTCTCTTCCCTTAACTTGTAGTCATGACTAGAATGAAGGGGTATTAATCACTGACTTAACTTTCCTACAGCAAACTATCATCTGAAGCGTTATGTATATTATATATATATATATATATAATATATATATATATATATATATATATATATATATATATATATATATATATATATATATATATATATATATATATATATATATATATATATATATGTCGTACCTAATAGCCAGAACGCACTTCTCAGCCTACTATGCAAGGCCCGATTTGCCTAATAAGCCAGTTTTCATGAATTAATTGTTTTTCGACTACCTAACCTACCTAACCTAACCTAACCTAACTTTTTTCGGCCACCTAACCTAACCTAACCTATAAGATAGGTTAGGTTAGGTTAGTAGGGTTGGTTAAGTTCGGTCATATATCTACGTTAATTTTAACTCCAATAAAAAAAAATTGACCTCATACATAATGAAATCGGTAGCTTTATCATTTCATAAGAAAAAAATTGAGAAAATAGATTAATTCATGAAAACTTGGCTTATTAGGCAAAAAGGGCCTTGCATAGTAGGCTGAGAAGTGCGTTCTGGCTACTAGGTACGACATATATATATATATATATGTATGTGTGTGTGAACTCACCTAGTTGTACTCAACTGTTTGCGGGGGTTAAGCTCTGGCTCTTTGGTCCCGCCTCTCAACCGTCAATCAACAGGTGTGCAGGTTCCTGAGCCTATCGGGCTCTATCATATCTACACTTGAAACTGTGTATGGAGTCAGCCTCCACCACATCACCCCCTAATGCATTCCATTTGTCAACCACTCTGACACTAAAAAAGTTCTTTCTAATATCTCTGTGGCTCATTTGGGCACTCAGTTTCCACCTGTGTCCCCTTGTGCGTGTTCCCCTTATGTTAAATAGACTGTCTTTATCTACCCTATCAATTCCCTTCAGAATCTTGAATGTGGTGATCATGTCCCCCCTAACTCTTCTGTCTTCCAGCGAAGTGAGGTTTAATTCCCGTAGTCCTCTCCTCGTAGCTCATACCTCTCAGCTCGGGTACTAGTCTGGTGGCAAACCTTTGAACCTTTTCCAGTTTAGTCTTATCCTTGACTAGATATGGACTCCATGCTGGGGCTGCATACTCCAGATTGGCCTGACATATGTGGTATACAAAGTTCTGAATGATTCTTTCACAAGTTTCTGAATGCCGTTCGTATGTTGGCCAGCCTGGCATATGCCGCTGATGTTATCCGCTTGATATGTGCTGCAGGAGACAGGTCTGGCATGATATCAACCCCCAAGTCTTTTTCCCTTCTCTGACTCCTGAAGAATTTCCTCTCCCAGATGATACCTTGTATATGGCCTCCTGCTCCCTGCACCTATCTTCATTACATTACATTTGGTTGGGTTAAACTCTAACAAACCATTTGTTCGACCATTCCTTCAGCTTGTCTAGGTCTTCTTGAAGCCTCAAACAGTCCTCTTCTGTCTTAATCCTTCTCATAATTTTAGCATCGTCCGCAAACATTGAGAGAAATGAATCGATACCCTCCGGGAGATCATTTACATATATCAGAAACTAGATAGGACC